GAAATTAAAAATAAATTTCCCACAGCATCTTCTCCATTCAGCACACTCAACCAGGTAGGGTTCAGTACTTCATCATGTCGGCTTTGGTAGCAGTGATGGTGTTAGTGGTTGTAGCGGCCGTCACGCTTCCGACAGGGGAAGAGCAGCTGACTTGCCTCGAGGTGGTCGGCGGTTACTTCACGGCTTGCCTCAACTACCTAAATTCCGGCGGCCTTTTTCCGGCGGAATGTTGCAGCGGCCTCCGCAGCCTGGCCGAAACAGCTCAGGCGGCATTGGACCGCAGCACCGCCTGCAATTGCTTGAAGATGTTGGTTCAGGGTGCTGCTGAAGAAGTGCTACGACGTGCCGGTCTTCTCCCCAAAACTTGTCAGATCTCCGATTTTCCGTTTGTCATAAGCCCTACCACCGACTGTTCCACGTAATCTCTCTCCCTCTCTCTCTCTATCTGGATTTCTAAAATCTGTAATTTAAATCTCATCAGTTGCCAGACAGCATCTTAAGGATTAGCATAAGATTTAAATCCTATATTTAAAATAATTTGTTTAGTTTAGGCTCATAGGGGATTTATCAAATCTTATTCATATTTACTGAATACGTTTGCAGTTAAATTCTTAAAATTGTTTTGTTTTACAGTGATCAAGTCGGTTTAAATTTTGAGAAGTTATTGGCAATTTAAAAAATTAAAATCTATTAATTTGAGTAGAAATTAAATAATAATATTTGTGGGTTGTTTGATAGCTCGATTTATTCAATATTTACACAATATTTGATGTACATATTGCTAAACAATTCTAATGTACAAAATAAACTTTATGTTATGTTGAATCCCATTTCTGCCCTGTTTCGTATCAGATCCTGGATATACTAAGTTGGTGGAAATAATTGAATTTTGATGCATGCTGAAATGCTGGGGTTTAGGATTTAGTCTTTTTTTTAAATTTTTTTATGGAGGTTTAGGTTTAGGCTTTTCAGGATTTAAGGTTCAGGGTTAACACATTAAAATTTCTCATGCCTCACTCTGAGAATGATTGAAATGATATGCTAACATGTGCTAATGTCACTAAACAGTACCAGCTACTAATATAATGATAAGTTACCCTAAGCTTCATTAAAATAGGAAATCTTATGTGCATACTACACACTTGATA